CCCCCCGCCCCCCCGCGGCTAGAAGGCGGAGCCGGAGACCTAGCAAACGGCCAGCTAGAAGCAGGGAGGCCGCTCCACCTTCCCGGGGCCGGGCTCTACGGCGGCCAATGAGGCGCGACCACGCGGGCTCCAAAACACCGAGAGGGCGGGGGCGTGGATGGCCTCGGCGGGTAGTGCAGCCGAAGCCGCTTCCTTCTCCGGTGTTGAAGGAAACGAGATTGGGGGCGGTCCCGCAAAGGGCCCGGTCGCCTCATGGCTGCCGGGAGTCAGGATTCACCCAGCACCTACCCAAGTTGGGACTGGAGCTTAAGCGCTGGTCTCCTTCACTTCTCTGTAGCCTCACATCTACTACAGTTACCCTGACAAGTCTTCCGTCCGGGCGGGATAGGTTCACCGCCTTTGTTTTATGAGTCGCAGAGGTCACCACCCCACCTCCCGTTGATATATTGATACATCCAAATATAATGCACGTGAAAGCTCGAGAACAAACTCGAAAGTGTGTAGGGAAATAAGGGAATGAGAATAAACGTACATAAAAACTTGGGGTGACAGACTAGACCGAAATCCCAAATGTAATGCACTCTAGTTATGTGGCCTTAATTCCCACCTCAAATATTTTAAGATTACATGTTGTATACATAAAGGACTTGGAATACAGCACGTAGGAGGAGGTATCGACAAATGGTAACTGCTGTGAATTTTACCAATACCCTATGTTTCAACAAGACTAGCATCTTAGGTCTATCTAATATGTATTATTTTCTTACTGCTACTGTAACAAATTACCACAAATGAAGTGGCTAAAAACAAAGCAAATTTATTATCTTACATTCTAGAAGCCAGAAGTCCCAAAAGGAGCTGCAAGACCGTGTTCCTTTTGAAGGTTTTTAGGGGTAATAAGTTTCCTTGTCTAGGGTCCAGCTTCTAGAAGGCTCCTGGATTCCCAAACTCATGCCCTCACATCAAGGGTACATCTCCTTCACTTCTGCTTCCATTATCTTATTCCTTCTCTTCCTGACCCTAACTCTGCTGCTTTTCTCACAAAAGAACTCCTGGGATTACTTTTAACTCACCAGGCAACCTAGGATAATCTATCTAAAGCTTCTCAATCATATTGAGAAAAATCTCTTTTGCCATACAGAGTAACACATTCACAACTTCTGAAAATTAGGGCATAGACACTTGGGGGCAACTAATCAGCCTACCAAATAGTGCTTCATGTCTTTCAGAGCACTTTCACATATATGTCCCTCCACCTGACCAGTTAGAGAATGTTTGGCCCAATGAAAAAAATTCAAGAGTAACAGCAAAGCAAGAAACCAAATGTAGGTCCCTGATGAATGCAAAGGTCATCTGCCCATAAAGCCAGCTCTGATGATCCCTTTCCTCCTCAGAGGCTCTTTCTCTTCTCTCTTCAACATGTCTAGATATTTCAAAGCTTAAAAACATAAAACGTTGTTGCTTGATTCTTCCAGCTGTTTCTCACTCCTTTTTATTTTTGTGTCCACCCAGTCCCCTCTGCCCAATGTATGAATGTACTTAAGATAAAAGGAAAGCATTTTTGTTTTATTGAATCCAGTAGATTTTCCTTAAGACCGCTTGTGCTGCACTGAGCATTGGTAACACATATACTGTGTGGGATTTTGCTACACAAAAAATTTGAGACATTAGATTACAAACTTTATTATTTTAAAATCTTAAACTGGGGATTTAGCTCAGTAGTTTGGTGGCCTGCCTTGCAAGCACAAGGACCCGAGTTCAATCCCCGATACCAAAAATAAATAAATAAAATAAAATCTTAAGCCCTTTAATGGCTCTCTGATACCAAGGGCTGAATCCATGGCCTGCCGATAAGGACCCTTCAAAATATGACACTGAACAACTTGAATGGTTGGTTGATGCAAAAAGAAAGTAAACAAGGAACTCTGACGGAGAAATCAGCTGGCAACAACAATATCCTTTTTTTTTTGGTACCAGGGATTGAACTCCAAACTTTACATTTGTGAGGCAGGCAGCAGAACCACTGAGTTAAATCCCTGGCCCCTCTTTTTTTTTGGTCAGCTCAGAAGCCTGACACACAGCTTTTGGGGACAAATGTTTTTTTTCATTGTATATGAAAATAGAAATAGGTATCTGTCATGAGATACAGGTGTACCAAAATGCACTCATAGTGAGGCCTGTCTGCTTTGGTGTTATTGTCATGAGAGGCATGAGGGAGCTGTTTCTTTGTTTCTTTGTTCTCCCACATTGGCTGCTTCTGTTTACCTCGTTTTTTCCTAAAATCAATTATGCCAAAATCAACATTTGGAGAGTCACTGATATGATGTCAGCCATGCTTCCTGCCAATGATGCTTAATTAGAACCTTCCCATCCCTAATCCATCCCTGGTTAAAAGTGGAAACAAGAAGGCTAACTAAGCCTCTATTATTATAAGCCACAAAACCCCCAGATCTACCCTAACTTAAAAATAATAAGAAGCAGAAGCATGACAGGTGAAAATATGTAGAATCAAAGTGCTGAAGGTTTCACTACCCACACCTCTGGAAAGGCAAATTCATCGGGACACAATTCGGGAACCTTAAGAGATAGGAACTAAAGGAAAGTCTTTTCCAAATCACTACTGTTGTACTAATAATTTTCAATCTCTTTTTGTCATTTGTCTCTCCTGTGAAAATTCTAATTTCCCCTAGAGTTTAGCTTGGGGAGATGGAGCAAGAATTCTGATTGCCAACCCCATAAGACTTCTAGGAATAGCAAGAGGAAGTGGTAGAAATAAAGAGCAAGGCTGCTATCTTCTGTCATCAATAGAGAGGAAGGGGTGCTGGTCAGACAAACGCAATAATTGTCTCCTTCAGAAAGTCATTCTTTTCATTCCGAGTACTTCTTTTGAATTTACTTTCTTTACCTCAGCTTGTATTTGTACATTCATTAAATTATCATAGATGTTCTGGTTGTGGTACAACAAAAAGCACACATCAGGACACTGGCCAAGCAGAAATAACAAAAGTATGCTCTTGTAGAGAACATAATTTATGATTTACTAATACCGCTTGGGTTGCATGAACCTAATTACCTGGAACTAAGGTACAAAAAAACTGACTACATTTTTTTTTCAGCTTTAATTGAGTTTATTGGTACATTTTAGGGATACGGTACAGTTACGTTCATTGTTGGGATCTTGTACCTCTACATGACAAGTCTTGATTCTCATTTTTTCCCCTTACCTCTGCCCTCCCTTCACCCCCTCCTCCTCTCTCCATCTATAAACACTTTATTTTCATCTTTTCACTCTCTCACATTTTTTTCTTTTCCCTTTTTACTCTTCTCCTACCCGTCCCACCTTCCCTACACCTTTAGCTCCTTTCTTCCCATTTCTAAATGTCAGTAATCTTATTAGAATCTTATGCATTGTTGCAGATTATTTACACCAGGGAAACTATTCGGTATCTGACTACATTTTTTAAAGGGAAGAATTTATGAGCTTCTTAGATCTATTAAACTGAGAAGAGTCAGGTCCAGCTACAACAATCTGTAAAACTCCCTATTACGACAATGATCAGTCATCACTGATTTGGTTGGGATAAACTGTAGGAGGGGAACAAATTTAGCAAAGATGGTAACTGCACCTGGGCCAGCCATGACTGTATTTCCTGTGATTCCAAATGGAGCCAGAAACAATCAAGCGTGGCTTGTACTTCACTTTTTCGAACTGACATTAGTTCAGTCAAATGTGCCTAGATTAATCTTTTTCATATTGGAAATATACTCATGCAGGCACTATGCAGAAAAACAGGCTTATAGTTATTGCACATTCACTGTTTTACTCTTCAATACAAATGAGTCTCCCCATCCTTCATCACTTTATTTTTCTCCCCACCTTCCCACTTCGTGGCTCCTCTTCTGAGGATGGCCTGATAGTCTCATCCCCATTGTCTAGAGCAGTTCATTAAAGTCCTGCGGCAGTTTCTACCTATAACATCCAGTCACCATTAGCTTTTTCTGTGTCTGTGTGTATTGTAGCCCATCAACAGTGCGAAGTTTTGGCAGATCCTATCTTCTTGTACTATATTTTCTGTAGTGCTATCTCAATTCCTATAAATAGTAGTTAGTAAATATGTGTGGATTGACTGGATAATGTTATTTATAATCTCAATTTATCTTAAAAGTTATCTGTTTCAGAACCAAAGCTAAAGGTAGGATCACTGAACATTTACTGTGGAGGGCTGGAGATTCACTTTGTTGGAAAGAAATGTTCTTGGAGAATGCAGTAAAAGGTAAGTGGCAGTCTTTCATTTAGGCAAAAGAGCACATTGCTTCTTGGCCTTTTGGCTAAGATCAAGTGTAGACAAGAGAGTACAGTAACTTGGAGACCATCAGAAAGGCTAATGGAGTAACAGACTCATTACTGTGGTAGAGGCCAATTATTATAAACTATCATTTCAAGAGTTTTCCTTACCAGGTATGTTGGGGAACCTACAATCCCAATACTCAGGAGGCTGAGGCAGAAGGATTGCAGGAAGTTTGAGGCCAGCCTAGCATACATAGTGAATTGAAGGTTAGCCTGAGCTACAGAGCAAGACAGTATCTTAAAAAACAAAACACAACAAAAAGTTTTCCTCAAGTACTGCTTGAAATATCTATACCTGATGGGGTTTTTTAAAAAAAAGCTTAAAAACTATCTTCAATAGATTACTGTGATGCTTTACAAATTTTGTGAATTAACAAAATTGCACTAAGTATTTACATTTCCAAGATATCATCAAGTGTATTGTGTTTCTTTGATGACTTTCCAACTTGGTAAACTTGTGACATCTAATGAAGAAGAAAATCAAGGTAATGGGGTGGAAATTTAATAACACCAGTAATTTTCTCTCCTGATAGCAAGCTGAACTGTGATTAATGAATCCATGAAGTAATGGCAAGCTGTTGTGTTTAAACAACTGTGTTTGCAGAGCGCTCTGGTGTGTCAACAACTGACCACAGGATTAAAAAAAAATTGGATTTCCACCTGTGACTCAGTTATAGGGGAATTTTTGCTTGGGGATCACATTTCCGAATTTTTACTAAGGGGATTTCTTCCCCTGGTCTTTTGACAATAAGGATTAAAAGTAATCAAACCCAAAGAACTTTGCTGCCCCATGGTTTTTTGGTTTTTTTGTTTTTACTAGTTATTCTCCCTAAAGTATTTCTTGTTCTTCTTAATGTTTACTCAGCTGTTACACTCTCAAAGTATTTTTACTTAATAGCATTAAGCCTGATAAATTTGAATCAATTAAAAGTACTGCCATTTCTAAAGGAGCTTACAAGGGGATATTTGCAATTTGGATGAAACCTTTTGTATAACAAATATATTATGATACTATACTATTAATATGTGATTTGATAGAAGAGGGGGCATTTGGAAAAACTAGAATCACAGTCTACTAATTTCTACTTCCCACCTAACTTGTACAATGCAACAGCCTTCACATACTCACAAAAAGCACCTGCACACTGGGACTGCTTGGTCTCTATTCTTCTTCTCTACCCTATTCCATATGTAGGTCCAGGGCTGATCACAGTGAGGACTGATGTTTCTACAGCATCATTAGAAAGAGAAGGACCAGCCCCATAACAATGGGGACCTCAGAGAAGGAAAAGGCAGAGGAGGCCAAGGGCATCTTAGAGGCCCCTGTGTTAGTACTACTTGAGTCCTTCCTTTCTGTTAATCCTTATCCCAAGCCACTAGGAAACTCAAGAAATTTCCAAATTCTTTTCTCAGCGTTTGACTGAGTACATATATCGATTCCAGAAAGTTACAGAGGCTTTGCCTTGTACTGCACTTGCTTTCTCCATACACACTGTTATACTATCCTCCTTCCCAACCCTCCATCCAATGTGGTCATTATTGTGCAATCCTGGTGTCTTAGTTACTTTTCCCTTTGCTGAGACAAAATATTCAACACCTAAATTTAAAGGAAGAAAGGTTTATTTGGACTCACAGTTTGTCGAGGTTTCAGTCCATAATTGGCTGGATCCAAGGCAGGGTGGCATGGCCGAGGGGGCACTGCAGAGTAGGCAGGAGGCAGCAGAAGACAAGCAGCAGCAACAGAAGCAGCAGCAGTAGCCCTCTTTCTGCCCCTCATATTCTATCCAGGCTACCCACCCTTAGGGCAGGTAGCACTCACATCCAGAGCGGGGCCGCCTTAATCCTAGCAACGCACCATGAATCAATCCCAGCATCACATTCTTGATCCCAGCCAGCATCACACACTTTAGATCCAGCCACCTCCCAAAAGCTCCACCTATGACTGCATGAGGGTTTGGGAAGACACAAAGCTATAACACCTGTGGGGTGTCATTCTGTCTCACTTGTGAACACGTTGACTTGGATTTGGATTCCATTTGGTTTTATCAGAACCATTTATTTACTGGTTTCCATATTTTTGTATGATTTCCATGGCTCTACTTAGGAATTTTTTTTTTTTTTGAGACAGGGTCTCACTATGTAATTGAGACTGACCTGGAACTCACTATGTAGCCCAGGATGGTCTCAAACTCACAGCAATCCTCTTGCCTCAGCCTCCAGAGTTCTGGGATTACAGGAGTGTGCCACCACACCCGGCTGCTCAGGGAATTTTGATGACCTCTCATAGAGTCTAAACCATGTGTTTTATTTTCTAGAAAGAAGACGAGCTTAGCAATACTATGCAAAGGACTTAAAATACCTCATACCTAAGACTACTTCCACTTGGAATTCAAGTGGAAATCTTCTTCTTCGTCCACACTCTGTTCACAGTTACTCACAGGAACAGGATGAGCCACCATACTAAGCTACATTCATCTAGCCCTCCAAGAATGAAATTGCCAATTATGCCTCTTTTTTCTCCTGTGATTCCAGAGGTTCACTTTGTATTCTGTTATCCCATGAAATAATCTGCCTCACTTCTCCTTTCCTTTCCCCTCTCTCCCTCCTCCCCTCCCTCCCTCCCTCCCTTCCTGCTTGTTCCCTTTTTCTTCTGCTTTTGTGGTACTGAGGATCAAACCTAGAGCCTCATACATCCTAGACAAGTACTCTGCCACTCAGCTATACCTCTTTGTTTGACTACTTAGAAAATTCCACCTATTTTCACAAGTCTACAATTGTCCCCAGGTTATAAAACAACCAGAAATCACAGAAAATCTCCAATTATTTCAAGTATTTTTATTGCCGTCTGAGAGAATCTGTCTCCCAATTTTTAGTTGGTCTTAAGGATCTCTTGAAATCTGTGTTGCTGTGTTGCTGGTCTGTGGTACTTTTTTTTTAAAGGCATTTCTGGATTTATTAATGAATTTGATATTTTATTTTGTTTTACTCTATATGAGAAACACTAATTAAAAAGTGATTCTTCATTGCACAAAGCAGTTTAATATAGAGGTTCTCGAGCTGGGAATTTAGCTCAGTGGTTCTGCCTCCTGCCTCATAAGTGCAAGGTCCCAAGTTCAACTGCTGGTACAAAAAAAAAATACATACATACAAGGCTCTCATCAAATGTCTTCAGTGTACTTTTTAATCTCCATAGACTCTGCCATAAAGAAAGATAAACTTGAGTCATTTGTAGGAAAATGGATGCATGTTGAGATCATAACGTTAAGTAAAATAAGTCAGATACATAAGTTTAAATAACGCATGGTCACATAAGAGCAATCTAAAATATAAATAAGGAGCACAACAAAAAAATAGGTACTAGGAAGTAGGGAAACCAATTTTGTACAAATGGGAAGGGGATCAAAAGATAAAGGGAGGGAGGGAGGAGAGGAGGGAAAGGAGACGAAGACAAGAACGCAAACGTGTTGTGTACACGTACCAACACCACTCAAGGCGTGTAATCTTTATGTAATACAAAGGCATACTAATAAAAAATAAAAACAAAAAAGTACACATTTGTTTAAAAAATGGCTCTAAGATTTTTAATAAAAACATTCTGAAAATCAGAAGTTCTACTATTCACAAACATGTTTGTATTGGAAAGCTTTGTGAAATCACGTTTGAAATAGACTACCTTTTAGAGAGCACTTTCAGGTTCACAGTAAAAGTACGTGGAAAGTACAGAGAGTTCCCATACCTCCCTCCCACACACACGCACAGCCTGCCTATTATCAACATCATCACCAGAGAGATGCATTTGTTACAGTCAATTAACAGAGGTAAACCATTATCAACCAAGTTCATAGCTTACCTTAATGCTCACTTTGTGTTCTACATTCTATGGGTTGGGTTTAGACGAATGTATGTGGCATTGCAGAATCACAAATCGTTCCACTGCCCTAGAAATCCCCTGTGCTCCATCAGTTCATTCTTCTTTCCCCTAATGAAAGCATTTTTTAATAAATCTTCCTACCTTGAAGCTTATGTAACAAATGGAAAAGGCTGCATCAGCTGTAATTCATTCTAACCTTGTAAATGAAAATAAAACATAAAATCTATTAGCCTAAAAGTGGTCTCCCTTTGTTTTATGTGTACAACATGCTTTTAAGCATAGTTATCTTATTAAATGTTAATGATTGTCAAGTCAATATTCAGCCCAAAATCATGAACCAAGACAGTGGGATTTTAAATCTTGCAGCAACTTGGTTTCCTTGAGACAAATCAGAAATAACAAAAGCGTCTGCAGCATTGTTGAGGTTCTGAAGGACGTTAAGACACACTAACTGCTACCGATTAAATGCTTATGTTGCCACCTCCTGCCCACCTTCATTCCCCATACAATATTTTTCTTTTGTGATACCGGGACTGGGTCTCACTAAGTTACCAAGTTGCCTGGGCTCAGCTGGAGTTTGAGTTCCTTCTCCCTCAGCCTCCCAGAGTGCTAGGATTACAGGCATGCACCACAACACCCGGCTCACCTCCAAATTTACCCTGATGTGCTGATATTCAGAGGTGGGCCTTTGGGGAGAGATTAGGTTATGTGGGTGAAATCCTCATGAATGTGATTAGAACCATTATAAGGACCCCAGAGAGTTCTTTATCCTTTCTACCATGAGAGGACACAACAAGAAGACAGCAATCTGTGCACCAGAAAGCCCTCACCAGATACCAAATCTGCCAGCCCTTTGGTACTATACTTGTTTATTGCTTTTCTTTTCAACTAGGTATAAGATCCATGCAGTTGAAGATATTTGTCTGATATCCTGTGAAACAACCTTAGCATGCAGTATATACCTTACACATAGAAATAACTCAGTAATTATTCAATGAATGAACAACACAGACTTTATGCCAAGCATTTTCCAGCTCATAATGCACAAATGTCCTCAGGTTCAAAAATTATCTTTTGTACAGTGAGAATAACACAATCATCCTGACTTGGGACAAGACCAGGGGTCAGAGTTAAAACAGCTAAAATAATGCATCAGCTAAAACAAAGCAACCCATAAAGGATTTTCCTGCTGCCCCAGTCAGCAAGAAGGTATCAAGGGAAAGCGTATTCCAGATTTATGCCATCATTTAGTCAGGCAAAAGAAGTAAAATGTAGCCAAGTGTAGTGGCACACACTTGCAATCCCAGCACTCCAGAAGGCTAAGCAGGAAGATCACAAGTTTGAGCTCAACCTGTGAAATTTAGCAGTAACTTTTTTCAAAATAAAATATAAAAAAGGGATGGGGATGTAGCTGGGTTCAATCTCCAGTAAAATACACACACACACACACACACACACACACAATGTTATCACAATATAATCAACTCAAAGTCAAGCAATGTATTATTCAATAAGCAATTAATGATCCCCTACTACATGTTCTCTCAGAATAGGGATAACCTAGTGGGCATACAGAATATGGCACAAAAGAAACCCTGGCAAAGGTCAGATTGACCTGGGAAGCAAAGTGACTTTTGCCAAAACTACCAAGCCTGCTAACAGCCCTTGGAGCCTGGAGCTAATAAAGAAACATATGCTTCTGTTTTAATCTTCTTCTTCAGCTGTTAGCATACAGAAAAGTATTTCCTGTAGGCATACTTACTTATTCCAATTTTATCTTGTAGTATAAAATGAATAGATATGTAGTAGACTAATTTTCCCAGAAAGGAAGAATGTATTACAGAGATGGAAAAGTAACTAACTCATAGGGGTAGGGAAATGGCCAATCTGCAGGAATAAATTGAAATTAGGGACTCAACTCCCTGGGAAATGTCAGTGTTTATCAACTATCTGCCCTTTACTGATATCTACTTAGGTCTTTTTTTTCCCCCACTCTGCAACAGCTTTCTCTGCTTATCAGTCCACATAAACACAGTACAGCCGTCTCTTTTTCTTAAGATTTACTTTTTTTTAGAAAAAGAGTATATTCTCTTCATTGTGATTCCAAATTCTGAGACTCATCTTAAGCCAGGTATCCACCTAGAATCAGCGTCTTTGTGCAGATAGGGGTGCTTTTACTTAAATAGTGGGGATGAAGGGGGGCAGTTGCCAGAACGTTTGGGAGTGAATGGGGGAATAGATGAAGCCAGGTATCTATTTCTTATACTTAAGATTCATAGCAATAGCCCTAAATTCAGACTTTTAGAATTTCAAAGTCCCTGGAAAAGTTTCTTGAAATGTCAATTTGATTACACAGCTAACTAACGGAACCGTAAGGAACTAATCCTGGTAATGCTTATTTCCACTAGAACACACTTGAATTTTTCTTTTCAAACAAAGCTAAGTATGTAAATTAACTTTTCATTACTGTAGCAAAATGCCTAAGATAATTTTTACAAAGAATAAGGTTCATTTTAGCTCCTAGCATGAGAGACTCCAGTCCACTGTCAGTTGGTTCTGACGCTCTGGGCCCGTGGTGAGGCAGAACATCATGGTGGGAGCAGGTGGCCAAGGAGGCTGCTCACTTTTTGGCAGTTGGGTAGCAAAAGAGAGAGAGAAGGAAGGAGCCAGGGTTCTGCAGTCCCTTTTGAGGACACACTTCCATTGATGTAAGTTTCCATTTCTTCCCATTAGAGCGTCTGCAATCTCCCTAGATCAGTACTCTGGAAAACCAACCTTTGACCCATGGATCTCTGAGGGGCATTTCAGAGCCAAAATAAAGCAGTGGGCCCCTTGGAGGAAGTAGAAGAAGAATTTGCTCGACAAGAGGAAAGAATAGTGATGCCCTTCTCTAGTAACCTGCCTTTCAGGAATCCAACTTCTACTCCTTTTTCTGCCCAAGTACCTTTTAGTGGCACAATCTCACTCTCTTTATATATCAATATCTAACCTCTGTTTATAAATCTTCATCAATAAAGCAAGGGCAGTAATACTCATCTTTCCTAAGATTGTGACAAGAGCAAAGTGAAATAAGAGCTGAGATTTGGTGGTACCAATTCATTGCTATTTGCAGACAGTTTTCCCTAAAATTCTGTGGCTTGTCCAAATGTCATTGGAAGATCCACCTTCATAATAAAAGACCAGGGCTACTCTTGGAATTTACTTTGGACAGTGCTTTGCAAAAGTAGGCTCAACTGACAAAGACTTGACTTCTACATTAATCATACTGCATGTCAGCCCTGGGCCAAGAGGCCAATGCATAAGCAGCTGGTCAACAGATACTTGTCAAGTGGACATGAAGACTGGCCTTCATGGTTATCTACATAACTAATCCTAAGACAATAGCCCATGGTTAGGGTCTGAATGCAGTGCTCAGTATTTCCACCTGATGTGGAAGACAGCCAAACAGGAAGAGAATTATAAAATGCATACTAATAGCTTTCTGCTTGCTTGCTTGCTTAAGCAGTATTCTATGTTGAGGCTTTAGTTTAGTTTTGTTTTGCTTGCATGACTAGGGATTGAACCCAGGGCCTTTGCTCTAAACTATATGCTCAGGCTTTTTCTTTTTAATTTTTTAAAATTTTGAAACAGGTTTCACCAATTCACCAAGTTGGTCTGGATTAAAATTTCATTCCTCCTGTCTCAGCCTCCCAGAGTGCTGGGATTACATGTATGTGCCACCATGCCTGGCTTCTATAATTGACTTTAAAGCCTACAT